GCCGTCGTTGATGATAAACTGGATTTATCTTCGACCGAAAGGAGGCTAGAAAAAGAAAAATATAATTTTTATTGTGTCGATAATAAATTAGTGTACGTTACTCCAACGGTTCGTGACAATTGTGCACATTCTCTTTTAATTTTCGATCTCTGGACCTTTCTTTGCTTCACGCGTGTTTCTGAGGGACACTTTTTATGCCGCGTTATCAGAAGAAATGGAAATTATAAGTAGAGCGGAGTCGTTTCATTGTGTTACAGCATATTTTTAGAGGTCGTAGGTTCGCATGGATTCCGCTGTTAACTGCAAGTTGCTTCGCAGAGTTTGACACCTCTGTAATTTGTCATACCGTGCTTATGCTTTGTTTAGGTTCGTTTCTATTGCAAGATATGTTTTAAGGCTTTAAGTATTGGCTCTCCAGGGAAAAGATTAAAATATTCCGCGAACTTGTTGCTTACTTGCATTCCATATTGTGACGCCGGGCCCGGCTATTTGATTAGAACTGTTTGCAAGCACAGTGCGTTGCACGAATATCATATTTATCTTCGTCCCGCTTTTCTTCAGAGACTGCCGTAACTTTACTTTGGAAAGCTCGACGTCCACGGTTGAAATATGACTGACTTTCCATGAATCCAGTGGGTAAGACGGCAACACTGAAAATCACGACCACGTTAAATTGCCTCGAGACAGACTAAAACAGACAGGTAAACGTTGGAATAGATATTATTCGAAATTTCAGCGCCGCGGGTAATGACAGTCGCAGCGCGATACATTGAATTCGACATCGAGAAAGCTCAATACAACGCGACAAATTGCTGATTACAGAGGACCCCTCCCTGATGTTCTTAATTGTCAAAGTAGCACGTGACCAGACCCAACCAGGGTCTCTCCTCGCTCGCTCCAGCGGGCGGTAAGATGAGAGACCCTGGGAACGAGGTTGACCGTTGACATGATCGGTCCTTAGTTGCAACCTCGATTCTCAAATACATTTCATGTGACATTACATGTCACAGATGAGTGCAACAGGGTGTCTTCTGAATCGAAGTAAAACATCGTTCAAATCCCTCTGTAGTTTCGGTCCTTGATAAATGACGTCATTAAGGGAGATTCCTCCAAACTTCGCAGAGGCGTCAAATACGATGCGAGTCTTTGTTGTGGCTCTGTCCAGTC